AGGGTCCATCAGGACCATGTCCAAATGTAAAATCAAGGGCAGTCTCCCTATTTATTATAATTACCAGTAAGACGTGGCAGGAGAGGAAAAGGGTGCCTGTTGGGCAAGATTGGCATGGTCACGGAGCCCTAGGGCCATCCCTGGGGAACCCCACACTGTGAGAAATGTCTATCCTAGTCCCCTTGCTGGTTTAAGTTACACTAGACAGCCCCAGCATTCTGGCATGTTCTATGGGCTGGGAGGGGATCTTCTCCACAGCAGAGCTTGCCCCTCCCCTCTGCTCCCTGGCTGCAGCTCCAGCAGAGACTTGCAGGCTGCTCCCCCCCATGTCCCCCTCACCACTCCCCGCTAAGCAGGAATTCCCCCCTCCCCTCTGCCATGCTGAGAGGTATCTGTATATTAGCTAGCAGACCACAAGCTGGCTCCAGTCCTTGCTGTGACAAAGGCAGAATCAACAGGTAGCTGGTAATGCCCCTCTGTTGTTTTCTTAATGGGGTAATAAACATTGTTGTCAATTCTCTGCTGGGCTAATCAGAGCATCCTTCCAGGGCCTGGCCATGCCCCTCCCTCAGCTCAATACCGTGGAGGGGAAGGGAGGGCTTCTCTAGCGCACCCCCCCTCCCCCCCAGCTTCTAGTCTGAGTCACTGCAGGTATGTGCCTGCATTTCTGGAATGAAAAGGGAATGTCTATCCACCTCCAAGTCAGTTCAAACTTTGCAGGTTAGATTGAATCAATTCAGGCTCAGGCTTTTTGAACATCTGTCCCTAGCCAAAAACATTGAGGATGATAGTGGCACTGTAAGTCACCTGACTGAGGATAGGTACCTTTCTTCTTTAGGCTTGGAACAATTTTGCATCTAGCATTAAATTCATCTCAAAGATGACATGGGTGCTGCCCACCTTCTGTGAAATAGTCTAGTAGTTGAAGAACTTGCTCAGGAAGTGGGAAGACTGGGTTCCAGGTCCTCATCCTGAGGGGAAAAACCCACATCTTCCACCTCCTTGGAAGTATCCTAACCATCAGGCTATAGCATAGATTACATGGAGGCACTCTTCACACCTGCTGATGGAGTTGGGCCATGAGACTGCAACAAGTCAGTCATATGGATCAGATAGTAAGCAAACAA